GCGCAGCCACCCCGCATTGGGGGGACCGCCGAGCGGGCTGCGGAGGCTGCCAATCGGCGGAGCGCAGCGCTCGCGGCCACGGCGCGCTGCCCAATAGCGCGGCCGCGTGGGCGGAACCAGGCCTTCAGGCCGCGGCCGCGCTAACGGTCGCCGCCAGGGCGGGGCTTGCCGCGCGGAGGGCGGCGGCCGCGAGGAGCGCCGGGAACGGAGAGCGCAGAGGATGCCGGGAATAGGCGAGCGCGGGAAGCGCAGGGAATGCCGGGGAAAGGGGGAGCGCAGAGGATGGCGGGAACGGGATAACGCGGGAAGCGCTGGGAGCAGAGGGCGCTCTTACGACACCGTACATGCGCCGGCATTATTCGTCTCCAAATAAAAGCATTAAACATAATTATTAGGAAAAAAAAAGACATATGCTAAACTGTCCGGCATTTCCTCACTTGCTATAGTACCGTTTCAGAAACTTAAGAAAAGGGCGGGTATGAGTAAAATGAAGAGGCAGCTCTTCCTTTGACCAAAATTCCGGTGAATAAATAGAAAGAGAACATCTCCCTTTTGTCAGCCTGAACAAACCTGCTGCAGACAAAAGTCATGGATGCTAAAAATAGCAGGCAAAATTATGAGAATTGGCACGGACTTTTTTGTTGTTTTAGGGAGCGGCAAAGTTTCTCCCCAAGACACTAATGCAAAGGTAAAATAGTAACTGCAGTGGAGAAAAATCGGAGACACCACCTAACCAACTGAAAGAGATCACCAGCAAATGTATACATATCCACACTTATAAAATTTACACTTTAAAGATGTACTCGTTGTACCTCGTAAGGGCGCCTGAGTGGCTCAGTCCGTTAAGTCCGACTTCATTCAGCTCAGGACCTCAGCTCAGGTCATGATCTCATTCATCATTCGTGGTTTCAAGCCCGAGTTTCGGCTCTCTGCTGATAGCTCAGAGCCTGGAGCCTGCCTCAGATTCTGCGCCTCCCTCTCTCTCTGCCCCTCTCCCACTTATATTCTTTCTCTCTCTCTCAAAAATAAATAAAACATTTAAAAAATGTACCTCCTATTGTATACTTAAAAAAAAAACAATAAAAATAAAGAGAAAAATCAACACCAGCAAAGGGACATATATTGTGGGCCTCCTGAAGACATGCATGACTTGTGGGTATGTTTACCCCAAAGACAAAACCTGAATGAAGAAAGATCACACAAACCCAAATGAGGTACATTCTACAAAAAAAAAAAAAAACAAACAAACTGGCAGGTGCTTTTCACATGTCAAGATCATTCAAGTCAAAGATACACTGAGGAGCTGTCTTCAGTTACAGGAGACACACAAAGTGTGATGTGGGATCATGATCTTGTATTGAAACCTGACTTAGGAAAGGATATAAGTGGAACAACCAGTAAAATTCAAATAAGATCTTGGGGCACATGAGTGGCTCAGTCTGTTGAGCATTCGACTCTCGATTTCAGCTCAGGTCATGACCCCAAGGTGTATCCTGCTTAAGGGTGGAGCCTGCTTAAGATTCTTCTCTCCCTCTGCCCCTCACTCCTGACCTTTCTCTAAAATTAAAAACAAAAAAATTCAAAGTCTGTAAGTCAGCTGGTGGTATTGTATCAATGCTAATTTCCTGGTCGTAATCATTTTACTAGAGCTAGTGGTAGGGTGTTAATAGTTGGGGAACTGGGGTGAAGGACACTGGAATATTTTGTTCTATTTTTTCAAGTTTTTAGTTAAGTTGAAATCATTTCAAAATGAAAATATTTTAAAAGGTAGGGAAAGGGGCACCTGGCTGGCTCAGTGAGAAGAGCATGAGACCCTTGATCTCAGGGTTGTGAGTTCAAACCCCATGTCTGGTGTAGAAATTACTAAAAAATAAAGTTGAAAAACAAAACAAAAAGGTGGTGTAAGAGTGTATTGCAGGTGAGGAAGCTAGAAGCCTACCTAGGCCCATCTTTCCCTTCCTACCCCCTTTCCAGGTACTTCACAATAAAAATGTGACCAAGCCCCATGAGGCTCTGGCTCCTGGGCTTGGTCAAGGGAGGCCAGCCTCCCTGTGGTTGAGCAAGCTGCTGGCATTGGCCCATTGGTCAGAGCTCAGAACCATTTGCATGCCACCATCCAGCCTTAGCAACCTCTCTACACTTTGTCATTTGCTTGGTGAGTTGCCTCAGCCTTGAGACCTCAGACACAGTACAGCCGGCTTCCCACAGTTCCCATTAGACTCCATCATCAGATGGACGCCTACAAGAGCTCTAAACCAAGCTGCGGGAGGAAACTTTTCCCTCTGGGCTCCTGTTTCCACCTGAGCCCAGCTCATCCATGAGCCAGGTATGGGCTAAAGGGCCTGGATGATGCTATCTGCTGGCAGATGAGACCAAAGACCAGGTGGGGGGAGGAGGGGTTGTTGGGGAGGAGGAGGGTGGTGGGAGGGTGTCTCTGCAGGTAGAAGGCCAAGAGCTCAGGCCTGCTAAGACAAGCCCCAAGGCCAAGCTGCATTCCTGGGCTGGTCTTGTTTACTCACAGATTGGACTTCCATATTGGTCAGCTCAGCACCTCCAGACTCCATGCCAACACACCTCAACTGGCTATTCAGAGCCAGAGAGCAGAAGCGGCTCATCTGGGAAGGGGCGTCTGAAGAGGTAGTGAATTCCTCATCCATCTGGGATAAGAGGACCCATGCTGAGGACTCAGGGATCTGACACATCTGGTAATGAGCGGAGAGGACTAGCTATGCCAAGCTATGCCAAGCTATGCCAAGGTCAGGTCCAGGTTTTCCATGTGGCATATCAAAAGAACTTCCAAAGGGACAGTTTCCTAGGGTCCCTTCTAACTGTACAACAGTCTCACCTCAAGGCCTAAATGAATGGGGGCTCAGGAAGTGCCAGCACTGCTATCCTTAGCTCAAATGTCTACCTGGCCTGAGCATGAGGATACAGTGACAAGCAAGGGAGGAAAGGCCTTGCCTTCCTGAAGCTCTTATTCTGACGGGGAGGCACACAAGAAACAATCTAGCAAAATGCACAGCATGTTACAGTGCTAACCACTCTAGAAAAGAGAGCAGGGGCCTTGCAGGGACCAAGGCAAGGCCGACTGCAACTTTAGATGGGATGCCTCCCAGAGACTTTACCAAAGAGTTGCAGGATGTGAGGGAGAGTGTGGTTCAGATATATGGGGAGAAGAGTTCTTCAACCAGCAGGGACAGCAAGTGCAAAGGCCCTGGGGCAGGAGCTGTGCAGAAAGCATGGCCAAGAGTAGGGACAGGGGCAAGGGCTAGATAAGTGAGGTGATGGGGGGCGGTGGTTCAGGGCAAGAGATGAGACCAATGTTGGAGGGCCATGGGCCAAGGGAAGACACCCCAAGATGCACCTTGTCCTCATCCTGCTCCTTCCTAGCCTCGTGACTCTGCCACCCTACCTGCCTGGGGACTGACATACTATTACGGTATCTCCCCAAGTTTCAGTTTCCTCATCTGTAGAGCGAAGGTCACAATTTTATTAGTTTGCTAGAGTGCCATAACAAAGTACCAAAAATGTGGTTTAAACCACAATTTATTGTCTCACAGTTCTGGAGGCAAGAAGTCTGAGATCAAGGTGTCAGCAGGGCCAAGCTCCCTTGGAAGGCATCCGGGAAGGATCTGTTCCAGGTCTCTCTCAGCTTCTGGTAGTTTCTTAGCATGTTGCAGCATAGCTCCAGTCGTTATAGGGAGTTCTGCCTGCATGGATCTCTGTCCCTGTGTCCAAATTTTCCCTTTTTTATACAGACATCAGTCATAATGGATTAGGGCCCACCCTAATGACTTCATTCTATCTTGATTACTTCTGTAAAGACCCTAATAAGGTCACGTTCTGAGGCACAGGCACTAGGACGCCAACAGACCTTTCATGGGGCACACAGCTCAACCCTTAACGGTAGAACTACATCTTGAACTGCCCTATATTCAGAGGGCTCAGGCCCTTGGGGAGCCCAGGGCAGGCCGAGGGCAGGAGAATCCCATGCAGGCTCTGTCCCTGGGTAGAGGCAAACAACTAGGAAAGCTCTTCAGATGGCTTGGCACCAGCCCAGTGGTGCCCCATGAGGGCAGACATGCTGGGCCAGGGTGGGTGCTGGTATGGAGCACCTATCCATGATGTGGCATGGCCCACTGAGGCAGATGAAGGGCCCTGGCCATGCCCAGGCTGGGAGCCTGGCTCAGTATGGCTTGGCCAGCATGCATGGAACTTGGGGCCAGTTTGCCCCTGGGCCTGCAGGCATGGGCTGTGGTGCTGCTGGGGGCCCCGTTCAAACCTGACCATGCTCAGGCACTTTTCCTCTGAGTTCAAAGTGAGCGCCAAGAAGGGCATTGGGCCCCTGAGGGGTACTTGAGGTGAAAAGAGGGAAGGGTTGAGGAGGCCAGTAGGGCCTAGTGCAGGTCCACACCATCCCCTGAGCTCTCACTGGCTCTGAGAAGGCCAAGTTGGGGGTCAGCTGCAAAGGCAACGGAAGCCTGGATCTCAGCACTGGATACGTGTGGGACTACTTGATGCTCAGCCAGGGCTAGGGACGAGAATTCTCAAGTGCTTGCCCAAAACCAGGGTCCTGAGGTTAAGACAGATTCCACTTGTCCTCTTGCCCTGAAACCTACTCCCTCCTACCATCCCCTGGCCTCCACAGTCTACCCCAAGTGCAGGCTTGATCATACTACACTCTCAGGAGGTCCCTCTTCACCCAGATAAGTCCCTGGTTCCTCAGCCCAGCTCAGGAGGTCCTGTATCTGGCACCTACAGTGTCCCATGCACACAGGCTCTCTCGAACCCCAGCCTCTGCCCAAGGACAGATGGATGGACAGGCCAACAGACCCTCGGGTTTCCATCATGGTGTTCAGGAACCCATGAGCAAAAGAAGAAAGTGGAAAGAGGCTCCTTCTGAGGAAAGTATATTGACAAGTTCCCGCAGGCCAGAAAAACCACCCCACTGACCCCCTGCACAGCTGTCCCCCATCACACAAGGACCTGGAATGCACGGATTCACCACACCTCACAGTTTTATTATCAAGGTCTCACGTTCAAGGACAGATTCCTATGACGTCTGACTCCCCAAGGAGAAGGGAAATAGCAAGGGTTGGCTGTGTCCCATTGCTGAGATGGGCCTGCTCAGGACCCATGACCCCCAATGGGCAGGCAAGTAGGTGCCTGAGAGCCTGGCAAGGTGCCCCAGCAGACACAGGACCCCTGGTGCATGCAGTACTGGCCCCCTCCCCCACAGGACCACCGCATGCACACAGGAGATCCCCCAGGGCACAACGGACAACCAACCAGGCTGTGTTTCTGTTATGAAAGCGGTTTTTCTGGAGTTGTTCTCATTTCTCTTTCCACATGGGGCCTCTTCTCTCTAAGAACAAGTCTGATTGTCCAGAAGCGGACTACGCCCAGGAGAGAAGGAGCCGCTCTTAAACAACAGTCTTCTCCTATTGTTTTGGTCAAAGCAAAGGCCCCCTCGCCAGAAGTACATGTGGATGTGACAGGCACACCTCTGCCTGTCTGGCACGCACGTGTGTGTATGCCTGGAGTGTGTGTGTACCTCTCTGTTGCTCATATGTGTGTATGCATGTGTATGTGTGCCCATGCACCTACAGGTATGCACAGAAGCGTGTACCTTGAGTGTGTGCCTCTGTGCTTGGGCAAGGAGTAGGCCCAGGTGCCTTCCCACATGCATAGCACACCTGGGCCCATGGGACTCTGTCACTCCCATTGGCATGACGGTGGACACTGAGCTGGACGTGAGGACACAGACAGGTCACACAAACACCAGAGGGCCCTGGTCCTTGGGAATGCTGGCCAAGTCACAGGCGGTACATGTGGCTGTGGAAGGTTCCTATCCATACTAGCCCTCAAGGCAGGGCCTTCCTGGAGCCCAGTGGCCACGGCCAGGGGGAAGGGTTAGCTCTGCAGCTTGAACTCGTGGGTGCTGGTCTCCCAGCAGGAGGGGTCCTTGTCCAGCATGCTACGCTCTGTGAAGGTCACGTGCCCGTCCGCGTCCACGAGGATGACCGTGTTGGTTCTGAAAGAGAGCAAGGGGCCCATGTTCAGCCCTCTGCCCTCAGCCTCCTGCCTGCCTGTCAGAGCCCCAAATGAGGCCTCTGTCACCGGGAACTCTCTCCTGTCCCCCTTCCCCAAGTGCTCAGTGCACCTTTTCTCCTCCTGCCAGCCCTCCCCAAGGCCATCCCTCACTTAGTCAGCACCTGTCTCCCTCTGACAGAGGGCAGGCACCGGGTCCCTGAGCAGTCCCAGCACAGGCTGACACCCAGGTTGGGCACACACATGCTGAAGACTGGTCCAGTTGCAGCCGGACCCGGCAGCCACACATCCAGCCAGGGAGCAGACCTGGCACTCTGCCTCACGCACATGAGTACACGTGAGGAGGAAAATAAGGAAATAAGTCTATGACAGAGGACAAGCTTGAAAAAATTGATGCCCCGCCACTTGCCAAGGGAAAAGCCTGCCAAATGGAAAGGCCACCATTCAGGCCTATAACCCTTGGGCGCTGAAGCATCAGTGCTGGGCACTGACACCACCCTGACCCTGCCTACCATCCGATACCCCAGCTAGAGGGCTTGAAGCTATCATTTCCTGGAGGATGCAAGACCCAGGCCAACCCGAACCCAAACACCAAGCATCCACGCAACATCACCATGCACTCAGGGTACATGTGACATCACCCTGGCATCACTCAGTACTTGCCACCACCCAAGCACCCTGTCCCTGAGTCCTTGAGGCTGTGGGTCCCGAAGAGCTTGGCCTATCCATCATGGTCACAGCAAGCTTCCAGCCTGGAGGAAGGCTGGTACCCATGGGGCCTGGTGTAAACTGAGTCCAGGCAGATGTGGTTGTGCACAGGCTATGGTTGGCCTACAGGTCAGGTGGGCCAGGTGTGCAACATCGCTCCTGGAGCATCCTGGCCGGACCAGACGCCCATCCTCTTCTGTACTTCCCCTGCACCTCCAAGTATAGCACGTGGGCTACCCTGGACAGAACCACATGGGTGGGCTGGGACTCCCAGACACACACAGAGCCAATCTTCCTCTGCCCAGGAGGAAGGGAAACGGGGAAGGAACTTGCTGGCACAGGAGATATTCATGCCAACAGCTCTTCCCTCCCATGAATTCTCTCCTTGCAGCTGAGCCCAGTAGTTGCCCTTCCCTTGGGTGATGTCCCCAGGCTAAGATCATCTATTCCCTACCCTGGTCACACAGGGAATGTGACAGGCCCAAGAACATAGGGCAAGTGAAGGTTGGTGCCGGGGTGGGACCTCTGGGTCCACAGGGATTTGCCGACCTAACAGTGCCCGTAGCCAGCCAAGCTCCCCCATGGCCGTGTAGGGAGCAGGGAACAGCCCAGGAACCATTCCTACAGACCCATGGGAGCCAGCAGGCATTTCACGCTAACATTAACTGTGGTGTCTGCTGGCCCCACAACCCCCCACGCTGAAATAGCACCTGCTTTTAGACAGGGCAGAGGCTCTGGGATCCACAGAGTTCAGGAAAGGCCAGGCTCCTCATGGGACAGGACTGAACGCATCCCAGCAGCCCCACGTACCTGGTGCCGTAGCCTGGGCAGCGCACACACACAGCTGCGTACTTGCTCAGAAAGGGCTGCACGTACTCCCTGCCCTGGTCCTCAATAGCTGGGTCTGGCAGCTGCCTGGAAGGACAGAGGAGGGGTCACCACTCCTCCCCCCCCAACCACCCACAGCCCTGCCTGCTGTCCTCAAAGCCTGCAGTACCTAAGGAGCCTACCAGCTTCACCAGGTGATTAGGGAATCCACAAAGGCTGTTCTGTGCACTTTCCTGCTGAAGGCCTCAAATCCCGGTCCAGTCTTTTATTTAGGACTCCATCACTGGAGCTCCAGCTGCCAGATAGTGATTCAGCCCCCCTGCCAGGGCCACCAGGAGCCTTCCCCGGGACTCAGGGACATGAGCACCTGTGAGCTGAGCACTGGGAAAGGCTCTGAGGGATCCACAAATGCCAGGGGTCCATCTAGTCAGAGCTGTGCAGGGCCGCCCACAGGAAGGACAGAAGTCATCTCCCAGAGCAAACTCACCTTCCTGTCTTGGTGAGGTTTGAGGGGCTGGAGTACTAGGGGCGGAGGCCTGGCTGAGGGGGTCACTAGCCGCACACACTCCCTGCCTACTCCAAGAGGTACCCCATGGGCATCCCTCCACATGACAGGAGCCCACTCAAACCCTGTGGATTACCAGCCACTGAAGCTGGTGCTGGGACCACAGCTGTCAATCAAAACAGCCAGGACCCCATTTCAGGCCAGAGGGGATGGCAGATAGTGACCGAGGGCCACGCGGACTTAGAGCTAAGCACAGGATGCTGGGCCAGCCCAAGTAGGGCTACCCTGAGGGGCGGCTGTGCGGAGGCAGAAGGACCCCTGGTTCATGGTTCAGAGAAGAGAAGGAGAGTAAGCGAGTAGGGCCAGGAGGATCCCAGGAGAGAAGAGTGGGAGGCAGCCACGGAGGCTCCTCTGAGGGGCTGCTGGGGCATCTGGGCAGGATAGTGGCCTGGCCTGAGTACAGGCCACTTCACTGTATGGGAGGAAGGTAGCCTGGCCAGCACCTCTGACCCCTAGCTGGGAAGGCCAAGACATGCCAAGAGGTGGTAACCCTGGGGCAGGTACCCTGTGCAGAGGCCACTGAGGTGCTTTAAGGAAGTCAGATCAGGGGCAACTTTCCCCCAGGCAATTCCTGGGACAGGCATGTCTGTACCACAGCACTGGTAGGACAGCATGTTGGAAGGACAGTTAACCTCTTGACATACTCCTAGGCTGTCTGCTTGTTTCTGTGGTTTGAGAAGCACTGGGAGCTTTCTAGAATCTTCCCGTAGCTGTGTGCGGACACGGGGAATCTCCAGCTACTCTCTGTCCCATACAGGCCCGCATCAAGTCTGTGAGAGCACTGAACTTCCGAGGCACTGGCCCAAGAGGGGAGCAGGTAGGAGAGGAGCAAAGAACAGCGTGTCCATGCAGGCTCCCCCAGACTGAAGAACCAGTCCAAATCCCTTCCACCAGCCTCCTAGGGCAGGAGAGACTACCCCTCTCTCTGTCCAGGGCTAGGGCAGGAGAGCGATGCTCTGATTGTCCCAGCAAGACCCGCCCACTCACGCCTCGTCATTGTTAAGCACGTGCAGGAGCTGGTCAATGAGGGCGTCCTTGGGGAGCTCCTGGCTCCGCTCCACAGCCTCCAGGAAGAGCTGCTTTCCAAAGCACAGCTTCCTCCACGGTGTCTCCAGCAGTGCATTGCTTAGTCCATAGGTCCCTGCAGGGAGGGGGACAGTCCAGCCAGTGCAGAGGCCCCACTGTCTGAATTCAGGGTAAACCCCCACCCACCCAGCCCTGGGCAAGGGGCCAGGAGTATGGTCCGAGGGTACTAAGGCCAGGCCACCCCACACTCCAGCACCTTCGCTATGCACATTTCTGACCCATCTGTGTGGCGAAGGGTAGAGAACTCAACACAGCAAAGCGTTCACAAGAGACCTTGAGCCACAGGTACCAAGCGGCCTTGGTGGGCAGAATAATAGGGAATAGAGAACCTGAATTCCAACTGGGCAAAGGCAAGGGGATACTCAAGAAGGAACCACCTCCCCACCTCACTGCCACCTCTAAGCTAGGAAAAAGCTGCAAGGTATGGATCCACCTGAGAAGGTCAAGGGTGGGAGAATCAACAACTTGAGGCCAAAGGGGTACTTGCTGGGTATGTCAGCAGTTAGGGAGCCTGCCAACAACACAAGAGCTCTCACTCAGTGGGAGTGGGCAGGGCCTACCTCTACTCTATACCGGCCAGGACCCTGAATGGGGAGCCATAGAGTCTCAGCACAACTTTTTCGGAACAAGTTCTCAGTGGGTTAAAAGAATGTGACGGGAAAGAAAAGGGTTTCTCATATCAAAAAAAAAAACAAAAAAAGGATAGACACAGCCTTGAGGTAGTCAGGCCCCTGGAGCCACAGGCAGCAGCAGCAAGTGAACTTGGAGTCATGCACCCCAAAGATGCACTGAGGACAGGGAGCTACAAGCATTCAGGTAAGGATCTCGACTGAGTCTGAGGTGATCACAGCCACTGCCAAGGAAGACAGCCCTGCTCTGCTGGGCCACCAGGCTGGGTTATCATGGTGCTTTATCCATCAAGAGCAACAAGTTTTTTAAAAATGAAAAAAAAATAAAAATAAAAATAAAAAAATAAAAAAAAGAACTCAATAATAAAAATACAAAGAACCCAATTTAAAAAAGTGGGCAAAGGATCTGAATAGACACGTCTTCAAAGAAGACAGATAAATGACTTATAAGTACATCGAAAGATGCTCAGTATCACTTGCCATCAGAGAAAACACAAATCAAAACCACCGTAAGATGCTTCATACCTACTAGGGTGACTGTAATCAAAAAGATAGACAGGGACACCTGGGTGGCTCAGTCAGTTGAGCATCTAACTTCAGCTCAGGTAGTGATCGCACAGTTCATGAGTTCAAGCCCTGCATCAGGCTCTCTACTGTCAGTGTGGAGCCTGCTTCAGATCCTCTGTCTCCTTTCCCCTCTCCTCCTCCTCCTCCACTTGTGCTCTGTCTCTATCTCAAAAACAAACATTAAAAAAAAAAACTTATTAAAAAAAAAAGACAATAATAACTGTTGGGGAGGATGTGGAAAAATTGGAAGCTCACATGCTGCTGGTGAGAACATAAATGGTACAGTTGCTTTGGAAAATAGTTTGACAGTTCCCCAAAGAGGTTACACAGGGACCTTACCACCCAGCAGTTCCATTCCTGGGTATAAAAACAAGAAAGACGAAAACACGGGTCCCCACAAAAACTTGTAACAAGTTTTCACGGCAGCATCCACAACGGCCAAAAGGTGAAAACAACCTGAATGTCCAATCAGATGAATGGAGAAACAACATGTAGAATATCTGGGCAACGGAATTATTACTCCGCGTAAAAAGGAACGAAACCGTAATTCATGCTACAACATGGACGGACATGGAAAACGTGATGCTAAGAAAGAAGCCAGTCACAAAAGGCAACATATTGTATGGCTGCATTTTTATGAAATATCCAGAACAGGCAAATCTACAGAGACAGAAAGTACATTAGTGGGGGGTGCCTGGGTGGCTCAGTTGGTGAAATGTCCGACTTCAGCCCAGGTTATGATCTCACAGTCTGAGTTTGAGCCCCATATGGGGCTCTGTGCCGACAGTGTGGAGCCTACTTGGGATTCTCCCTCTCTCTCTTTTTCTCCCCTCCCCCTTTCTTTCTCTAAGAATATAAACCTAAAAAAAAAACCAGAGGGGTCCCTGGGTTGCTCAGTTGGTTGAGCGTCCAACTTCAGCTCAGGTCATGATCTCACAATTCATGAGTTCGAGCCCCGCGTCAGGCTCTGTGCTGATGGCTCAGAGTCCAGAGCCTGTTTCAGATAGTGTCTCCCTCTCTCTGTCCCTCCCCAACTTGTGTACATTCTCTCTCTCTCTCTCTCAAAAATAAATAAAACATTAAAAAAAAAAATAAAGTAGATTAGTGGTTTCCTAGGGTTGAGGGGTGGGAAGAGTGGGGGGTAAATGCTAATGGGGATGGGAGTTTCCTTTGGGTTGATGATAATGTGACAGAATTCAATAGCAGTGCTAGTGGCACACCTCTGCGAATAGACACAAATCTACTGAATGGTACAGTTTAAATGAGTACATTGTATGATATGTGAATTATATCTCCACAAAGCTGCTATTTGAAAAAAGTGACACAGATCAGGCAGGGTCAAGCTCAGGTAAACAACATGATGTATTTGAAATGATCTCCCTCCCTCCCTCTGTCCCTTCCTTCCTTTCTTTAGCAGAAAACAAGCATCTCTGGTCACAGGATCTCAAGTACTGAGAACTGAGGGAGGGCATCACAGGGGTGCTTTCCAGACACTTCCACAAAGGCCTCTGGGCCAATGCATAGAATTAGGGGTAAGAGGGGTCTATGTCCTTTTTTGCCTCTTAGTTTTAGATTCTCTCTGGCAGTCAAGGGCTTAGTGCTAGGGAAGGTGGCTTATGCTGTGGGCAGGTGGCCTTGGCTGTAGGCAGCCTGACAAGTATAGGCCATGGGCCACTCTGGGGACACAAGGTGCCCAAACAGCAAAAGAGCATAGTCCCAGGAGAGAAATGTGACAGGGACCCAGGCTCTGAAAAGTACACAGGTGTCCCTATAGGAGCAGCCCCTACTTTGTCACCACCCACCAGAGCTTACCTGGTGTCAGGACGACAGGCTCAGGCTCCCCCCGGTTTCCGTAGTAGCAAACGACATCTCCCTTCTCTGTGCTGTAGACAGGAGGGGAGAGAGGGTCAGAAAGGAGCCATGGGGGGCTTCTGATCTCTTACTCCCTGGCAATCCCCACAGCCCCATCCCCCAGCACAGGGACAATGGCTCACTGTAGCCAGGGCAGGAGCTAGTCAGGGCCCCAGCCTCGCAGGCAGGCTCTCTGAGTCCCCTGGCTTCTGACTCCCAACTCGTGGCCGAGACCACTGGCTTGGGAGCAGCCTGGGAGGGGCAGCATCTAAAGACCCTCTTGCCTCACTGAATGCTCCCGCAGCATGGGTACCTGCAGGCTCGTGTGTTGATAACTGCACTGTACCCATAAACACCGGTCCCCACCCACACAGCTCATCTCCAGGCACCTTCAGACAGAGTGGGATGCCCCAGGGGTGACAGAGGCTTCAGATCAAAGCACCAAAGATCACATTTGCCTACTTTCATGCGCTGCATGTGCATTTAAAAAGAGTTCAAAATGCTCAGAGCTGAAAATGTTCCATTCCTAAATACTACAGTAAATCTTCCTGCTCAGACTTAAAATTGCCTTTTCTGCAAACTGGAGAAGGACTCTTCCTGGGCTGTGAGCCGCCCTCCCTGAGGTGTGGAGAACACCACACATGGGACCTGAATCGCAAAGACAGGGCCAGGTAGGGCTGCCGGTGAGGGGGCGAGGGGGGGTCCCCTTGGCCATGCCCACTCTGGCGCCACATGGCTTCACATTCTGCTCATCTTCTTTCTCCCCATAGCCACTGGCTCCTTTCATAAGATATCTGGCTAATGACTTCAGAAATGTTTGTAGGCAGAAAGCTAGAAAGCATAAAGACCCATGGATTGGACACCAACTCTCCCCATGCCCAGTTAGGGACCAGCCTAATAATGATGGGATTCTTTTCACCTCCCAGCACCTACCACCAGGGCTGCTTGCTGACCACTGACTCCCTCTGCCCTCTGCCTCTGCCCTGCACACCTGGACCTTGGGAATAACCCACTGGGTTCCCCAGGCTGCCACCTGTCCTTGAGGGCTGTGTCTAGGGAGAAATGGTCCAACTCTATGGCCCCAGGAGCCAGGAGAGCTGCTGAGGCACTGATGTGCCCAAGTCCTACCTACAGGAGTCACCTGCACACACATGCATCCACTCAGAGCACTGGGCCCTCATTACCCAGCCACTTGACATGGCTGCTGAACACCAAGTCCTGCTGGGCTACCGGTCTCCCAGACAGGGTCAGATGTACACAGAATGACAGACACGCAAAGTGGTCCCTGTACAGGGGGAGCTTGGAGGGCAGGGGAACAAGTGCCCGTGCCAGCACCCGCCTCCTCCCATGGACACTTCAGCCTCCACATCAACACGTCTATCCACACAGCAGGCTGAGCACGCCACATGCAGTGGACAATCAAGGCACAGTGGGCCTAGGGCTCCTTGTAGAAGGAAGCAGGCTCAGGATGGGTGTCTGGTCATGGGCACACCCTGGAGCACTGAGCACCTATCCGGATGGAAGCTGATGACCTCCACTGACCTCTGGGACATTGTCAGTGGGGGTACACAAGGGGAGGGCAGCAGAGAGGGAGAATGGGACAGATGGATGCCCACTTCACTGAAGGGCAAAATACACAAAACCCCTGCAGTTCCTGGGCCACATCTCTAAAGTGCAAGTCCCCTGGAAGGAAGCACAGGACACTGTACCTATCCTGTCGGGCTGTTCCCACGAATGCCTGAATCCATCAGCAGCTCTGTGAGGCCTGCTTCGGAGAAATGCACATGGGCCTTGGGGCGTGGGAGGTGGGAACACCCAGCCAGGGCCCCTCCACATTGGCCACTCTTTGTGGCTGTGGTATTACCACTCCCCCACCTGACGTGATTTGCCTTATGCACCAAGACTGTCAATGGTGTGTACCCTTCTGTCTGCACAGCTGTCTGCTCACTTGTAGGCAGGGTCAGGCAGGAGACTGGCACCCAGCATGCAGCCCCAGCCATCCCCCTGCTTCTGCCCACCACCATCTGACCAACAGCCCTGGGCACAGGCTCTGGGATGCCCCCTGCCCAGAGACAGGGTCCCACATGATTCCTGCTAACCTGCACCAAACACCAATTACTTCATGGCAAAGCTCAGTGTCCGCAGTGGGCAGTGGACCACAGGCAGTGCCCCCTTCTTAACTGGCACGCAGCAAATGCTGCTGAGCAATAGGCCCTGGGCTAGAGGCAGCCCTGTGGAGGACCACAGCAGTGCAGCTGGTGCCTGAGCTACTGCGGGGCTGTGGCCAGGGTCCAGGCATGGGAGTCACAGAGATAAACACTCTCTGCGAAGCCAGGCCGCAGCCCGCTGGCAGCCAGCCGGCATTTCCGGCAGAAATGCAGATGCTACCAGCTGGTGTCCAATGGCACCACGGCTGTGCATGCAGTGCTCCTTCCTAACCTGGTGGCCACCTGATGGGATGTGACTACTGTCTCCAGAGGCACCTGGACCCCAGCCAGGGGCCCAGAGCAGCACCACAAGACCCCGGCCCTACCTCACACCAGCAGGGGTCTTAGCCGTGTCAGCTGCCTGTTGGAGCTCGGCTGCATCAGGTGGACACGGGGCAGTAGCTGTGAGGACGTGCCAAGTGGTGCACGTGAAGGGCTCAGCACGGCCCCCCACACGGCTATGCAGGTAACTGCTGGCTGCTGCGCCTCTGTGTGCCTCACGTGGGTCTGGCCACACCTCGAAAGCCACTTCCCCACATGGCCAGGCCCTCAGCTGGGTTTCTGACTCTCAGCCGGCACAGGCATCCCTGAGGTTCCAGGCCCCATGCTTCCTGAGGACCCTTCCACCTGCTTCTGCTCCTTGTCTACCTGCCCGACTCCAGGTAGGGGAAGACTTCCCCCAAACGCCCGTGCAGCAGAACCTCTGTGGCCTCTGGTGACAAAGCTCGTGGGTACCTGGGACAGCTTTGTCCCCCCTTGACAACTCTAGACAAGCCCACCGAGCACCTCGCAGAACCTGAAATGAGCCACGCTGCAGGCTCAGACACACCTCCCTGGAGAAGCCGCCACAAGGCCCTAGCGCTCAGCAGTACCCAACCACCCCTCCAAGTGCCGGGCTGCTCCATACCCGTCAGTGGGGCTTGGACCTTCCTTCTCCAGCCTGGGGCACCTCTGCCACCAGAAAGCAGGGCAGTGAGGTGCGGCTCCAGAACAGGGGACTCCTTTGCCACAGACGCAGGGAGACCTCAGGGGCAAGGGGTGCCCCCTCGTGCCTGGAGATGCCCACTGCGGTCATGCTACAGCCAGTGGCCCTCACGCTGCCACAGGAAGCCCCCGGCTCTGTTCGTTGAGTCCCCATGACAGTCGGTTGGCCCTCGGGACGCTCACCATGACCAACAGGAGCAATGTCCCTGGGGAGGCCACCACAGTACCCCAAGCTCAGTGGCAGGGTGGGAACCCCACTTCCTGTCAAGCCCATGACCCAGCTCTATGGCAGCGCTCAGTGGCCTGCCATCCCCCTCCCGGTTGACCCACCTCAGGTCAGCTGCTATGAGGTTAAAGCCGTTGTACAGGTGGCCCTCTGCAGAGACCTTCTTCAAGTAGGACAAGCTGTCCATGTCTGTAGTCAGAAAGTGGGTCACAAGTTCACCTGTGGGTGGGGGACAGACACACGTGGCTAAGGCAGCAGGGCTGAGTCCCTCTTCCTGGGGAGACTGAGATGGGGCTGGTACAGGCTAAACACCACCATGCCAGCCATACCCCATTGACCTAGCAGCTAAGGAGGTCTGCATCAAGAACTCTGTTTTTGTTGAGTTTTAATTTTTTTTTCTTCCATTATACCCCCTTAATGGAAGTACAGCATGAGGGAAAAAAGCTTCAGTGGGGACAATGTGTGTCCATGGAGCTATCTTCCAACAGGGTGCTGCTCTGCAAACATTTGACAGGTAGGAAGCAATGACAACAGTCAGAAGTGACGCTTTGGTTGGAGCACAAATGTGGAGGGTGTTCCCTGAGAGGGGCAGCCCTGTCTGTGCAGGTGGGTGCTGCGTGGGCCAGGCAGCGGGTGGTTCCCACAGGGATGTCAGCCAGTGGGCCTCGGAGCCAGAAACACCCCACTTCCCCTTCATCCACCCCGTGTCTGCAGGTGCCCAAGAAAAGCCCACCCCCTCGCCCTGCCCGCTCCACCACTGCCCCCATGGTACCTCGGCCCCGGGCATCCCGGTCCTGCCGTGGTTGCAGGTAGTTGGTGAGCGCGGCCAGCTTCCCCCGTGTGCTAATGCCCAGCCACGTGCCTCCTTCCTTGCCTTCCTCCATGTCAAGCCCTGTGACAGATGATAGTGTCACCACCAGTAGCACCTACCTTGGCCCTGTCCCTATGTCCTAGGGAGACATGTGCTCAGTCCGGCAGTCCTGGCTAGGGACAGGGGCTTGAACTCCTCATTGCAAGACAGTCCCAAAGCCCACAGGGCACATGAGAGACCCTGCCCCACCCCTGGGATGACACCTATGCCCATGGGAGTCCCTGGAGGCTTGCGGTAAAACCTCACACATGCAGAATGCATGCTGATGCCTGGATCAGCATTGGGCTGGGAGCATGGTGCCAGCTCTGTCCTAGCAATCCCACGTCCTGGATCAGGTGCAGGGCTACTGGCTGTCCTCTCCCAGTAGGACACACAGGCCCTCAGGGTGGGTACTTCACTAGGAGCCCGGGGCATATCCAGGCCCACCTGTGTTGCTTCATCCCTACCCCACAGGCCCAGGCCACCGTTAGTACGCCAAGGGGCCTCACCACACAGTCAGCGAGGCCCTTAAAGCCACAGGAAAGCATCTTCCTAGACCAGAGGGTCATTTTAGTTGAAGATTGGGGTAAAAGCAATGGAGTCATTAAAACATCATTTTTACAAGAATCATAAGTTATAACAACAAAAGAAATAAGAAATATAAAGATCAGAAAGGAAGATATAAAACTGTCTGTTTACAGACAACAGGATAACATATGAAGAAAATCCAGAAGGAATCTACCCCCTGCTCCCCACCAAAAAGAAAAAAAAATATGTCTTGGGGGTGCCTGGCTGGCTCAGTCGGAAAAGCATGTGACTCTTGATCTCAGGGTCCTGAGTTCAATCTCCATGTTGGATGTGGAGATTACTAAAAAATAATAATAATAAATTAGTTTTTAAAAAATCTATTAGAACCGGTAAGTAAATAGCAGCAAGAACCAGGAAATGAAATTTTAATTTTACCATTTATAATAGTAAACCAAACCAAACCAAACAAAAAGTAGGAAAACATTTAAAGAAAAATGTGTGACACGTAAAGACTAAAAACCACAGAGCAGAGCTGAGAGAAGACAACCAGTTCTAATTAAAAGAGAGAAGCACGTCCTGTTCCTCAGCCAAAGACTCAATATTGTTAAGACGACAGTTGTCTCCAAATGACTAAAGGAGTCAACATAACCGAAATTCAAATTCCAGCAAGCTTTCTACTTTATAGAAATTAATACACTGACTCTAAAATTTATACGCACACATGAAGGAGTCAGGATGGCCAAAAAAGTTCTGAAATAGAACAAAGCTGGAGGAATTAACCCTGCCTGATGTTGGAACTTGCTTAAAAAGCTGCAGGAATCGAGACAGTGTGGCGTTGGCATCAAGACAGAGGAACAGATCAATGGGACATAAGAGAGTCCAGAATATACCCACGTATGTTCAACTGATTTTCAACCAAGTTGTCCTAAGAATGCAACAGGCAAAAGAGTATCTATTCAATAAAGAAGACTAGAAGAACTGGGGAGATGTAGGGGGAGATATGAATCTCAAACTCTACCTCACACCATGTACCAAAATATAAGATAGGGGTATCTGGGGGGCTCAGTCGGTTAAGCGTCTGAATCTTTTTTTTTTAATATTTTTAAAAATATTTTTATTTATTTCTAGGAGAGAGAGAGAGAGAGAGACAGCGTGAGCAGGGGAGGGTCAGAGAGAGAGGGAGTCACAGACTGAAACAGGCTCCAGGCTCCGAGCTGGCAGTCAGCACAGAGCCCGACGCAGGGCTCGAACCCACGAACCGCGAGATCACGACCTAAGCGAAAGTCGGACGCTTAACCGACTAAGCCACCCAGGCGTCCCATTAAGCGTCTGAATCTTGATTTCAGCTCAGGTCATGATCTCAGGGTAGTGAGACAGAGCCCCATGTTGGGCTCCATGTTGAGCCTGGAGCCTGCCTGGGATTTTCTTTCTCCCTTTCTCTCTGCCCCTCTCATACTCATGTGCACATGCTTTCCCTCTCTCTCAAAATAAATAAATAAACATTTGAAAAGAAGTGCCATCAGGGCCTTGCCCCCTCGGCCCCACCACTAGAGCCTCCCAATCATGCCCTACAACAGCGATATGCATAGTCTGCCTCATCCGCATGACCCCCTCCCATTCCATCCTAGCCCAGGAATGGCCAGCATGGTACTGGCCAGGACTGAAGGCTCCCCTCAGAACCTCCTCACATAGCCTCTCAGGCCTGCCCCTCGCCCTCTGGGAGAGCCGTGGCTGGTCCAGCTGAGGAACCCCCACACAAGCCACCCCCCTCACCAAGATTACTGTCCTGCAGTGCCTAGAGCTTACAGAGCAGGGGTCTCCTTGCCAGCTCCACCCCACACCTCTGTTCACACATCTCCTGTGCACCTTCTGATGAGGCTAAGACACAGCCCAGAGCCCCAGCCTCTTCTTCTTGTACTCAGTTGAGTGGGGCCTCCTTCACAGGCTCACAACAGCTTTCCCTTCCATCTGCCAGACTGCCTGTCCACAGCGCTGCCCTGTCTTAGTCTCTGCACTCCTGTCTTCCTTCCACGTGGCACCAGGACAATCCAGCCTGGGCAGCGTTTTCCTCCCACAACCACCCAACCAGTGTACATAGGAGGCCTTCTGTGGAAGTTCCACAGTCGAGCTTTTTAAAAAATTTTTAAAGGTTTAAATTTTTTTTTTATTTTTAAAAAATGTTTTATTTATTTATTTTGAAAAAGCGAAAAAGGGACAGAGAATCCCAAGCAGGCTTTGGGCTGTCAGCCATTGGCCATTGTGGGGCTCAAACTCATGAACCATGAGATCATGACCTGAGCCAAAGTCAAGAGCTGGATGCTTAACGGACTGAGCCACCCAGGTGCCCCCAGTTGAGTTTTTAGATACTGTAGGCAGAGCAGGGCACACACAGGCTCCCCAGACCCCTGAGGCCACCCACTCAGCCCACTGGGCACCTGAGCACCCCTGTCAGCTCTGCCAGGCTCTCTCATGCTTCCCTGATGCCTGGCTCACAGGCAGACGGGCCCCCGGCCTGGCCAACACCTGTCCACACCTTTCCAAGTAGACCCCTGCCTGCCCCATGGGCAGGAACTGCACTCTGTCCAAGGGGCTCAGGGAGGACTGGCAGGAGACATGGTTGTCACCTCATGGGAACTCCTCATGCAGCTTCCATCTGAATGTGTCCCAACCAAGCCTAGGCTCCCCAAATTCAGGCCAGTTCTGGAGCAAGGGGTGCTGATGTGTAAACAGAAATGAGTGCAGTGTGGAGCACCTGGGTGGCTCAGTTGGCTTAAGTGTCTGACTTCGACTCAGGTCATGATCTCACAGTTTGTGAGTTTGAGCCCCATATCAGGCTCTGTGCTGACAGCTCGGAGCCTGGAGCCTGGAGCCTGGTTCAAATTCTGTGTCTCCCTCAATCTCTGCCCCTCCCCCACTTGCACACACACTTAAATAAATATTAAACATTCTTTAAAAAATACGTACAGGTATATGCACAGTCACACAAGCACACACGCACACAGCTATGATGCTTCACAGACTGAGTGTGAACCTGCGCTTCATACAAACCCAATCACACGCCCACAGCGAAAAGATGAATCCAAATAAAATCAACTGATCCTTCCAGCCACTTTTGTGGGAATCCACGACACATGAAACCACATGGATGGTGCTGGATAGACAGTTCTGGGGCTGGATGCCCTGACGCTGGGTCCAACCTGGGACCCTGCCCCATGAGACCAATCAGTGTTCACTTATTCATTCTGCATTTACACTGGGAAGCAGCACTTGGTTTAACACTGGTTAAAACCACTTGGGGGCACCTACCTCCTGCCATGTTGTGGCCACCCCCCTGGGAGGGAAAACTCACCACTGAGGACCTCATTGTTGTTCCCCCAGAAGTCTGCCAACTTAGATGGTCTGTGGTAAAATTCATCCCTGTTGGCTGCCAGGATGAGCCTGAAAGAGAAAGTATGACTAAGGGTCTCAGGGGAAAACAGAAAAGCCAGGTTTTGTTTCTCCTGTTAACAAAGAACTTGCTTTAGTAGCAACATAGGCAAGTCATAGCAAGGACAGGAACCCTCAGGAGACAAAGTCAGGGATGGCACCAGACAGCGGTATTTCTAGGGAGCCTTTGGGCAAGACTGTGCCCCAGGGCCCTGCCAAAGAAATGAGGCAAAGGTACATGTGCCATCCCACTCTGCATACTCCTACCCACCCAAAAAGGGTGGCAGAACCAGGGCCTGTGCAGGGGAGGGCCCTGAGCAAGGCACTGAGCAGCTGGCACCAAGCACGTCCCAGGTGCTCAGGTGGCAGAGGTACACCCCTCTATCCATGTGTTCCTTCCCCTGAGGCCACCCCCAGTGAGCCCGCGAACCTCCTGGAAGTGTAAGCATGCCTCTAAGAAGGGCCCTGGGGACGCACGTAGCCAGCAGCCAAGCGCAGGAGCTCTGGAGGCTGCTGTCCAGTGTTCTAGGGTGTTTGCGGAAAGGAAGTGCATAAGTTAGGGATTTCTGCGTTTCTCTAGATTTTTTCATTATGAATCAAACAAGTATTTTGTTGGCAAGTAGAAAAGATGCCAATGTTTTCAAAAGACCTCTAGTTTCAAGGTGAGAAAACAAAGTTTCTAGTCGGCTTTGCCATTTAAAATATAGTAAGAACAAAGACAGTGACTGAGTGGGACAGGTCCACCCCTGCCACATCCACGAGACAGAACTCTGGGTCTAGGAAGTGACCGCCAAAGGATCCTGAACACCATGGGCAGGTGCACAGAGAACGCGGAGCCAGGAGCTATGGCTCGGCAGCCTGTGGTCACGCTAGGGCTCATCTGTGGAAACTAAAAAGTTTCCAAAAATAATTTTGTATTGACTCTTAGATTTTTATGAACATTTGCTTGTGGTAAAATGTGAGTTAACAAAGAAGTTCATAGAATTGAAGGTGAAACTGGCACCAGCACCACATCCCAGGACCATGGACGGGCCTTCATCCTGTGCACACAGAGGGTGAGCCCCCAACTCTGCACCTCCCCATGCAGCCCTGTCACAAGCACCAACATGGCCAAGGACAGTAGATGGCCATCAAACTCTCCAGGTCTGCCCTGGGAGTCTCACTACCTTCAGGACACCTGTCTGGCCTGTGGTAGCTCTCTATCCTGACACAGTGCTCCAGGTCTCTGGGATAAGCCCCTGAGGGAGGAGGTCACTGTCCCTGATACGAACCCCAGCCACTCACAAACAACCCTCTGCAGCTCCCCCTGCCGGAGCCCAGCTCCAGGCTGAGGGAGATGGCCTTAGGGAGAAGCCAGCGGGGCCTGGAGCCCTGTGTCCTGCCACATCTGCTTTGTCCCTTTCTCCCGTGACTGAATTTCAGATCCGACCTGGCTGCCAGCCACAGGCTGCTTCTTTGGGCCGGGCATCCCACCAACGCCTAGGTGGAGGTTGTTTCATGTGGTCAGGAAACAGTATTCCCCTTCAGACACCCAGCATCCCTCCTCTGCTCACTCATCCTGATACCTGTGGGGAGAGGGGGCTGCAGAGGCCAGGAGGCCGGGAGGCCAGGAAGGAAGCACCTGAATTAAGACTGATGCTGTTGGCTTCTGGTTCTGATTCTTACGTAAGTCTCCAGAAAAGGAAAAATTAAGGAGAGGGAGGAAAAAAAGAAAAAAAAAAAAGCTGACTGAGCAGAACCTTCTGTCCTAAGATTCTCAACTCCTATTTTTAAATGTGGAGCAGTGACATGCATTTGTTATTAACCAGGAATATTAACTGCTGGGCTATTTTTGTCACTAGAGTCGCTATTTAGCTGGATTGCTAGTGGTTTGCTGGGGATTTCATTAAATACCTAATTCAGAAACATGTGGGTGTGATGAGTACCCACATCAAGACTCCAAGTAAGAGAAAGTATTCCCTCACTCGCCACTTCTGGGCACTGCAATACCAATAAAAGTCTATCTGTGCCACAGCACCCAGGGGCAGGGCACATGCCAACCACAGTCAGGGGCTCTGAGGACAGCAAGTCACCCATGGTTTTGTTTTGTTCTAATAACTGAAACCACTAATTATTCACCATCAACAGGCACTCCTCACCCTGCTACCGAGGGTGTCTGTGCATCACCTGGCTGTGGGTCTGTGCACCATCTGGAGGTATAGGTGACACCTGAGGGGGTAAGCCTGTGCACTGTCTGGGGGCGTAAGTCTACACACCATCTGGGGGGATGAGTCTGCATACCATCTGGGGTTAGTGTGCACCATCTGGGATGATGGAGTCTGCTCACCATCTTGGAGGGGGGAGGTGTCTGCACACCATCTGGGATGCTAGAGTCTACACACCATCTGGGGGGTAAGTCTGTATACCATCTAGGGGGTGAGTCAGTGCACCGTCTGGGGGAGGTGTGTGTACCATCTGGGGGGTGAGCGGTGCACCTCTAGAAGCTGAGTCAGTGCACCATGTGGGTTGGGCCTGTGCACCATCTGGGGGGGTGGCGGTGAGTCTGTGCACCATTTGGGGACAATTTAGTGCCAGGTAGCAGGTGCATGGGCCCATGGCCTAGTGATGTCACCAGCAGTGATGAATCCCATAAAGTCCCCAGAAGGATGGGATAGTTTACCCAGCAGCCCCTACAGACTGGAGCCAATAGGAGGAATTAGCTCTTGAGTCTAAACAGACATTTTGATAAAGATGGTGGTTAGGTGATAGCCTGGATAGTGTTACCTGACAAGGAGTGTACTGGTTTTCCATGTGGCCTAACAAATTGCCACAAACACTGTGGCTTAGAGCAACCCCTACTTCTTATCTTAGTCTGCAGCCAGGAGTGTGGGCCTGGGTACAGGGTATTCTGCTCAGAGCCCCCTGAGGTGGCCCTCAAGGTGCCAACCAGCAGGGTTTCACTGATACTCGGCATCCTCCTTATGTTCCTGAGGTTACTACAGAATTGCCATCTTTGGCCAGGGTCCCACTCAACTCCTGGAGGCCACCCCCAGTTTCTGGCCATGGGTCCCTCCAGGCAAAGCAGCTAACCTCTTCAGGAGGGGCCTGGTCCCACTTGGGGGGCTCTCCTGATTGGGTCAGGCCCACCCAGGACCACTCCCATTTGATGAACTCCAAGTCAACTGATTAGAGACTTATATCACATTGACAAAATCCCTGCACATTTAGCCCACGGTCCCACACACAACCAGGGGAATGAATGACACAGGTGTGTACAGCAGGGGCAGGAATCTTGGCGGTGCTCAGCCTACCACATGGGTTGTGGGAGCTCACATTTTACTTTGCACAGCTTGTAGGGTATGACTGTTTTTTTCAAAGAGCACATACCTTTTTACAACCAGAGAAATAACTGGAATCTCGTGGGAATACAGCTGCCTCTATGGAGCAAGGTCACTTGGGACCCCAGGGCAAGGCTGTAGCTCCCACAGAAAACTTCTAAGTCAGCATCTCACAGGTTGTTAACATAATTTCTTACCTGCTATGCTCCCTGCTGGAGTGCTGCAGATATCGGTACTAAAATTAAAAACGAGCAGAACCAACAGGCACTCAGACAATCCTCACACTGGGTAACTATCACCAAAAAATGGAGGTTCCAAGTAGCAGGTAACAACAGGCATGGAAGGCAGAGGCTGGGACCACCCAGGGGAATCACACCCCTGGGCAGGGGCCATGATGCACCATGCCGGGAGGAACCTCAGAAGAGAGCGACCCCCAAGGAGCCCACCTTCCCAGGGCCAGCTCAGCACCAAGAAGACAGACAGGGAGGCCCAAGGGGGGTCATGCCAGGCAAGTGCCTGGGGGAAGGGGCCAGTGGGATGGGATGTGACATGGGGATGGCCACCACCTCTGGAGGGATGGGCACGTCCAACAGCGAGATGCAGGGACATGGTAGATGGGAAGTGTAGACCATGGGATCCATGACACCAGGGCCCAGCCCAGTATCAGGCCTGGAGATGTCTGCAGAAGTTGCCATGTTCACATTCACTCTCTGGGAAGATGCTGAGCTGGCTCCCCCATCCCTTCTTCAGCCCCTTAAGTGCCCTTCAGCAACAGACTGTAACTGCTACATCTGGGCAGACAGCCCCCAAGATGCACGCTATGTAGTGGGCCACACTTTTGTGGGGAAGCAGGTGATAGGATGTTTGAATGAGGCCCAAGAGAAGGAGAGATGCTTCTGGAGCCATGCCTTTCATAGCAGGTCAGCAAAGTGGCAGATACCAACACCTTCGCTGGGGCCAGTGATGGTAGGCATGAAAGGGACAGGCTCATCTTTCTTGGACAGACTCCTGGGAAGCCAGAAAACACATTCCCATGAGATCAGCATCTGGCAGTGGCAGAGCCGTGGGTGACACTGTCCGCAGCATCAAAAGTGAGGCTGTTTTCATCTTTTCTTACAGCAGAGAGGAAATGTTTAAATTAATATTTATATATACAGTTGACCACTGAACACAGGGGTTAGTGGCACCGATTTCCCTCCCTGTACAGTCAGAAATCCACATATAACTTCTGACTCCACCAAAACTTAACTACTACTGGCCTACTGTTCGCCACAAATCTCACCAATTACATAAAGTTGATTCACACGTATTTTATATGCTATGTGCATTACATACCACATTCTTAACGATAAAGCAAGCTACAGAAAATAAAGGAGCACACACTCTTGATCGAGGGGTTGTAAGTTCGAGCCCCACATTGGGTGTAAAGATCACTTTAAAAAAAGAAAATCTGGGGCGCCTGGGTGGCTTAGTCGGTTAAGCGTCCGACTTTCGCTTAGGTCATGATCTCGCGGTTCGTGGGTTCGGGCCCCGCGTCAGGCTCTGTGCTGACTGCCAGCTCAGAGCCTGGAGCCTGTTTCAGTCTGTGACTCCCTCTCTCTGACCCTCCCCTGCTCACGCTGTCTCTCTCTCTCCTAGAAATAAATAAAACATTAAAAAAAATTTAAAAAAATAAATAAATAAAAAAAAATAAAAAAAGAAAATCTTAGGGGTACTCGGCTGGGTCAGTAGGTTAAGCATCCGACTTTGGCTCACGTCATGATCTCACAGTTTGTGAGTTCAAGCCCCACGTCAGACTCTGTGCTGAAAGCTCGGAACCTGGAACCTGCTTCAGATTCTGTCTCCTTCTCTCTCTCTCTGCTCCTCTCCCACTCATGCTCTGTCTCTCTCTCTCTCAGAAATAAACATTAAAGGGGCGCCTGGGTGGTTTAGTCGGTTAAGCGTCTGACTTTGGCTTAGATCACGATCTCGAGGTTCGTGGGTTCGAGCCCCGCGTCGGGCTCTGTGCTGACTGCCAGCTCAGAGCCTGGAGCCTATTTCAGAGTCTGTATCTCCCTCTCTCTCTGACCCTCCCCTGCTCACGCTGCCCCCTCTCTCTCCTAGAAATAAATAAAAATATTTTTAAAAAAAATTAAAAAAAATTTTTAATTAAGACTCTTAAAAAAATTAAGGAACAGAAAATACATTTAAAGTACAGTACTGTACTTAAAAAAATCTGCATATAAGTGGACCTACACAGTTCAAATCCATGTCGCTCAAAGGTCAACTTTATATGGCAATAATGGCCACCATTCCAACTGCAAAAGTCCACTTTGAGGCGACTGACTGGGTGGCTCAGTCAGTTGAGCATCTGATTTCAGCTCAGATCATGATCTCAGTTTGTGAGATCGAGCCCCACACTGGGCTCTGCATTGGCAGCATGGAGCCTGCTTCTCTCTCCCTCTCTCTCCGCCCCTCCCCTGCTTGTGCGTGCGCGCGTGCATATACACACACACACACACACTCTCTCTCTCTCTCTCTCTCTCTCTCTCTCAAAATAAATAATCATCTGATCTTGGAGCAACACTGCCTGCAGGGATGAGCTTAACCTACAAATAAAAATAGGTACTTCCCACTACCCTGAGGGTCAAGAGGCCACTCAACATGAGATGACATTGAGGGTGCCCAAGAGAGCACATGGAGCATGGGGTCTTCAGTGGGTCCCAGCCCTGTGTACCAGCTTTGTGGGCAGTAAAGTCCAAGTGGACAGTGGCCCTGGCTTGTCCGGCTTGGTGCAAAAGGACTTGGTCTGGATAGCACGCAATGATGACACACTGAAGATATAACTCTGCCACCAAATGGGACACGGGCTGACATGGCTTGGGAGGCCTACTGTATGGCCATCAAAAGATCCTCTAGGGAACCAATTTGGCAGTTCTCACAAAGTCAAATACAGAATTGCCATATGATCCAGCAATTCTACTTCTGGGCACACACACAAAAGAATGGAAAGCGGGACTCGAACAGACACTTGAACACTAATCTCCACGGCACCATTACTCACAACAGCCAAGAAGTGGAAATAGTTCAAGTGTCCATCAATGGATGGATAAAAATGTGGTCCATGCATACAATGGGCCGTTACTCATCCATAAGAAGAAAGAAGATTCTGACACATGCTACACCAGGGACTTTGAGGACACTATGCTACATCAAATAAGCCAGTCAAAAAAAAATATTATGATTCCACTTATATGAGGTCCCCAGAATAGTCCAGGTCATACAGACAGAAAGTAGAACTGTGGTTGCCAGGGGCTGATGGGGGTGGGGGGGTGGGGAGTGACAATGGAAAGTTAGTGTTCAGTGGAGACAGAGTTTCATTTGGGGACAATCAAGAATTCTGGAGATGGATGGTGGAGATGGTTGTACAATAATGTGAATGTACATAATGCCACTGTACTGGACACTTGTAAATGGTTGGAACAGCACACACTCCCATTCCTGCCAGTTAGTAGATGGGGGGAAGATGAAGACACAGCAGTGGATGTTAAGGCAGCAGGCAGAGGCTGGTGCATCCCAAGCCAGGACAGGCATGGCTAAAGCAGGAGGGAGCCCAAGTAAGGGGCACTGGGCAGGCCTTGCTGGCCCAGATAGCTCCTGGTAGCACTGCACAGCCAGAGTGTCCCCACCACACTGATGGCCTCAGAACCTGGCCTGTTCCCCATTTCACTATAGGCACCAGGAGCCTCTCTCTCTCTCTCTCTCTTCTTTCTTTCTTTCTTTCTTTCTTTCTTTCTTTCTTTCTTTCTTTCTTTCTTTCTTCTCCCTCCCTCCCTCCCTCCCTCCCTCCCTTCCTTCCTTCCTTTTAATGTTTATTTATTTTTGAAAGCGGGAGGATGTGGAAGGGCAGAGAGAGAAAGAGAAACACAGAACCCAAAGCAGGCTCCAGGCTCCGAGCTATCAGCACAGAGCCCAACGCAGGGCTCGAGACCACAAACACAGGATCATGACCTGAGCTGAAGTCAGATGTTTAACCAACTGAGCCACCCAGGTGCCCCTCAAGGAGCCCCTCTCTAATCTCTGAGGAGTCCAGACTCGGCTCACCAGGCATCTCCTTGCTGGCCCTGCTGCAGTGTCCCTCCCGAGGCAGCCCCCTCCTTGCTCCTCCAATCCCTTTCTCACTTCACAAACGTACAGAAACACAGAAACCAAGCACAGATACCTACAGCCCACCCATTCTCCTGGGCCACACAGCCCCACAGTGAGAACAGGAGCAGCCGCTGGAAGCCCTTCTTGCCTTCCCACAACTGGGAAAATACCAGGTGTATTCGGTCAGTCACCAGAGGTGGCATATGTAGTTTTTGGCCTAGGGCTTTGAAATACACTGGAGATAAACACTGAAGCCATCTTGAATCACAACCCATGAATTGCTATGAGGGCAGGTCTTGGCAGTAATGCACAGGTCCTGAGTGAAAGCAAGAGACCTCCTTCCTCCTCCCACACTTGAGGGAGTTTGGAGGTAACCTTGAGAAACAGCATATGCAGTGACGCTGCCATGAAATCTGGAAGTAACAATATAGCCAGCATCAGACTCAGCAACTGTCAGGATGCTGTCCAGATGTGTGAGAAATTCTGCACTTGTTGGGTGGAAGGAGAGTTTCAATTTATTAGGCCTCAGCCCCAAATATGCCCTTCATTGCCTCCTCATGATAAAGGAGCTGAACTTTGTGGCTCATACCATATTAGGTTTTATCAGTAGAGGGCACTGGAGAGACATCGCGGGTAGATAAGCTTCTTTTCCTGGATGCAATGTGCTTCCTCAGGACATTCCCACAACACGTGTGGCTTCTCTAAGATCAATCCAAATACATGTGTGGCTTCCCGTGTGTACCCAGTGGCCAGCACCTTCCCCCCAGCATCCTCTTCCAACAGTTGCCAGCGCCCTAGAAGGCCAGCTCCTAGCAAGTTCTGCTGCCAGGGCTCCCCAGAGATTTCTTTGCTATCCAGTATGCCATGGCTGTGCCTCTCCAGCAAGGTCTGAATCTCAGCCTGGGGGTGGAGGACAGGGCTCTGTCCAGGGCATTCCAATCCTGTGGCAGTTAATAATTCTGCCTGTTACACTTCCCTGTTACACTGCACCTGGATCCCACCCACTGGCTGTATCCTAACTCAGACAGCTCATTCTGCTGGGGGCTGATCAGGGTCAGCTCCAGGACTCTGGCCTGGCCCCGCTGTCCACTCCTCTGCATGAAGGGAACACTGGGCACTCTTCATTCCCCAGCCCCTGGCCTAGAACGAGTTTTATTCAGCACACAGTCAGACAGCATGGTGTCTGTGTAATTTCGCAATGTGACTCAAATCTGAGAAGTGAGTCAAAATGGCTCAAATAATTCCTGGTACAGATTTTAAAGCAATGAACACTTCCCAGGCAATTGTACCGGGGATCAGTTTCAACTGTCATTTTTCATTGTGGGTTACTTCTCAGACTCAGCCTGGATAAACTTGGATGGATTCCCACTGGGGTGCCCGGGGAATGGAGGGAGGAGGGGGGAGAACTGGATCATATCTTGCCACCTCTGGCCTCAGTTTCCTATCTCCTCTACTGGTCTCCCAGCTTCCCCCCAACCCCCGCCCCGATCCTCATTCCCCAGCTCAGGACTGACAGACCCTGCGTGTTAGCACCAGCACCCACACTTCCCGCTGGCAACACAGACCAGCCAGTCCAAACTGGGCTTTTGCTCATCATCATGCCAGCTCTGTTGCCCCTGGTACCCCTACAGAGACCACAGAACTGCACCCCCATCAGGCCCCACATTGCTCCCTGTCCTGTCTGCACAGTGACTGTTAGCAAAGCCTCCACACCTTTGTACGTCAGTTCAGGGCTCCTGCCAGCGAGTGGTATTCCCTGCTGTGTCCCACACTGAGTGACCATTGTTGGCCAGGCTGTACAGCCAGTCCCCACGCAGGCACTATGCCAAAGAGAGGACAGCAGACACAGAGCAAGGGGGTTACCTGTATGCATTTTTGGAAACAGGGCGAGGATCGAACTTAAAGAAGATGATACACATGGGTCCCTGAGAGCAGCTTTGTTCACACGGGGTCACACAATCTGTGGGAAAAGGAAAAACATGCATTGAGGAAATGGCAGACAACAGAACACTGCCCCCCCACCCCAAACCTGCAGTGCTCCCTGGCCCAGAACAGAACCACCTCTGTGATGTCCCTGACCCTCACTGAACATAGCAGAACTGTGTGCCAGACACTGTGACACTCACCAGCATCACATGACCATCTCCCTAAATGTTCACACCTATCAGCACAGGTCAGACCGTCCCCCGATGCCTGCACTGCTCACTGGCTCTGGACACACCACGGAAGAGTGGCCCCGGCAGTAAGAACAAGAACCACAGGTGCAGTGAGGGGGCGGGGGGCAGTAGGTGTGCACCCTCCCACATCACACCTGAGTGGCTCTGTGGTTTGCTCCATGCCCACCACCCAGATTGATCCCTCCCAGCCCCTGGAAATGGAACCAATTCCAGCCCAAGCCCCTCAAGGCAGGGCTGCATCATATGTGACTGGCCCAGGGAGGCTCTGCAGCAGTGACCACAGCAGGCCCTCAGCACATGCTCTCCACCATGACAGCACAGACAGAGCCCAGGGACCCATAGGACCCTGCACACCCCACATAAGCAGGTGCAGACAAGAGGCAAAGCAAAATGTTGGTGATAAGGACATGCATCCAGGTGCTGGAGAGTGGGGGCTTAGCACATACCCTCGCATACACAGGCCCTGTACCTGGGGACCTCTAGGGCCAGCAGATCTTCTCCCACAACCGAGTTGAGAACAGAGATGAGATCCTGAGGCCACTGACCTAGGACGAGGTGACTGTGAGGGTCCTAGTCCTGCATGTGTGCATGAACCAGGGTACCGCTCCAGGGCAGAGCCAGCTCCTACAGCCATGAAATGGATAGCAAAGAGGCTGCATAGATGCCCTGGCCAAAAAGATGCCCCCAGAAGAACCTCACGAGCCAGGGGCATGAGGGAGTGTTCAGTGTATGTGCATGTATGTGAGGCCTCAAGGTGTGTACACATGTATAAGTGTAAGGACATTTCTGCGTGTGCATGTGTGACTGTGTGCATGTGTGTGCCTAGAAGAGGCGACAGCTCCAAGCGCGCTAGCCTGGGGCGCCCTCGGATTGGGGAGGGGTGGCGCAGTAGCCTGTCCCCCAAGAGTGTTAAGCACACAGTGCCTACTAGAGCTAGGTCTGGGCTCTGCCTGGGATGGGGGAGGGATCACATCTGTAAAGAGGGTCTATGAGTTGGCCCCCAGCTCACAGAGAAGGTAGGATGAGATGCCTGAACCCTGCCCATCCTTGCTCTAGGTTTCAACACAAACCTCGAACACTGCCTCTCCTGCCCCTCTGCCCTCAAGCCTCGGAGCAGCCACACAGGGGAAGGGACCAGTCTGCTGTGAGGGGCACTGGCACAGTCTGCCTCTCAGGCATGGGAGCAGCAGGAGGAGGCCTAGGAGGGCTCCAGCTCACTGCCCCAGGCTAGGGTCCCCACAATCCACACACTCCTGTTCTGAGAGAGGCCTCCCCAGCCATGAGGGTGGGCAAGTGAACAGAAGAGAGCTTAGAGACCCCCTCTGATGCCAGTGCAATTGCTCCCAGTTCTTGGGTCTACAAAGTAAAACATTTTCTGTTTCAGGATTCACAGAAGGAAGCTCCCATTACACCGACCTGCCATCTAAGCTGTGCCAGCACCCAAGGGTGGGAGGGTGGGTAGACAGTTGGCAAGGGATCTGGCCACAGGAACACAGAAGAGCCAAGGAGGGGCCAAAGCCTGAGGCTGGCACTATGGACACGACCACAGCTCGGAGCCACCTGTAGGTCCTGGTGTGAATGACACCATGGTGTCCCTGTCACTCCATTCATTTCTGCTTACTGGTCTGGCAGGGTTGGGAAGGGAGGGGAGGTGCTCAGCAAGGAAGGAGCCATTCTACTACTGTCACCACTGGCTCCCACAGGCCCTCGAGGGTTCCCCACAACTCAGCCCCGAGTTCCTCCCAGCCCCCAAAGGTACAGACATCAGTGATGCCTCAGGGGAACAATCTGTCTTCAGTAAAGCCCTCGGCTGTGCAGGTGAGATGTCACCATGGTGACCAGTGCCACTATAGAAGTGCAGGGTGCTGGGAGATGTACAGCTATGTGGGATGGGCTGCTGGCCACTGGCCCCCACAGGACAGAGCCAAAGGCAGTGCCTGATGTAGAAGAGGGCTCCGAGGTGACAGGAGCAGGCTGGGTCCCCACCCTTGGGTGCCCTGGTAGTGCCCACCAGGGCCATCATCCTAGGGCCACCTGATATCGATACTGTTGGAACCAATCCTTCTAGTAAAAACAACTCAAAATGCTTAAAAGAATATGGAAACATCTTAAAAGCAGCCAAGAACTAACAAAGTCATGCAGGATTTAGCCAATATCTCAGAGAATGTGAAGACCCAGAGAGGAAAGAAAGCAGAGTACTCTAGCTTTTCCTGTCCTGAGGCACTGGCCCATCTGGCAAACTTGACTCTGGTGACCATGAAGGCAAATGAGACTGAAGACAAGGCCCAGGGCTGCCCTAAGATGGGAATATAGTAGAAAACCCTTCCCTTCCCTCCATCCTCCCTGGGTGAAACTGGGACAACGGCAATGCTCCTAGGGTAAGGGTGGGCAGTATCCACAGCCACCCCAGGGGACCACAGGGACAGCACGCAAAAGTGGAGACAGTCCCTCAGAAGCCACATGAGGACAGCTGGTCCACACTGGGGGTCCAGGGATCCTCCTGCCAAGACTTGGTTTGAGTGGCTCCCACATTGGTAGTGCCCTCAGGCACCTGGCATGCCAAAGTTCTCATTTTCATGCTAGACCTCTGAGAAGTCTCACACATCATTCAAGGACAAAGAGGAGACAGTCAGAAAGAACCACACAATGAAACAAAGCACCATAAGTAAGAACCAGCGGAAAGCGATCCCCACACGTCTAGTAAACCAACCGCACTGACTGCAGAAAAAGCTTGAGAATATTTGCAGCAAAAGTGCATGAGAAAGAGTAAACCAGGAGGTTCACAAAGCACTGGAAAGGACTTTGAGAATCAGAATCTATAGTAACCATCCATAAAACTCAGCAGTGGGGACACCTGGGTGGCTTAGTCGGTTAAGCATCTGACATCAGCTCAGGTCATGATCTCACAGTCCATGGGTTCGAGCCCCGCGTCGGGCTCTGTGCTGACAGCTCAGAGCCTGGAGCCTGCTTCAGATTCTGTGTCTCCCTCTCTCTCTGCCCCTCCCCTGCTTGCTCTCTGTCTCTGTCTCTCAAAATAAAATAAAGACATAAAAAGAAAAAAATTTTTAAAAAAGCGTCCAACTCTTGATTTGGGCTCAGGGCATGATCTCACCATTTGTGAGTTTAAGCCCCGCACCGGGCTCTGTGCTGATAGCGCAGGGCCTGCTTGGGATTCTCTCTTTCTCCCTCTCTGCCCCTACCCTGCTCTCTCTCTCTCTCTCTCTCTAAATAAATAAACTAAAAAAAAACAAAACAAAAAAACAACAACCTTAGGGGTGGGTTCAAAATTAGCAGATTAGACACAGCTGATGAGATGGATTGAATCGTCCAGGATGCAGTACAAGGAGGTAGGAAGCATGTGGCAACTCCTGGGGCCCTAAGTGTCCCACCTGCTAGGTACACCTGACAGGCACCTGCTACATGGCCGTGGCCCAGCACCAAAGACACAGGCCTTCTCACCTCCAAGGAGTTGGTCTCTCCCACAAATAAGAAAACTCCAGACGAGGCCAACTGGCACTGTCTATTTCAACCAGACCAACCACGGTCAGTGGGGGAAACCCTACCAGCCCATCGCTTCTGAAATCCCACCTACCCAGAGCCCCAAGACAGAGGGCTATTGCGAGGGTTGCTCCACCAGGGACATGCTGCCCCACCAGGGACAGGCAGCTCTGGGTTGTCAGAATAGGTCATCATGGTGGCCTTGGCCTGCTGTGCACCTCTGGGCTATGTGCCCAGCTATACAGCAAGGCCATCGACCGGAAGTAGCTCTGGCTACAGAGGCTCACAAGCCAGAAGCAGAGCCTTCCAACTTGGCTGCAGAACCTCACCAGCCTGGCCAGCCTGTGGGGGTAGCAGACCAGCCCTCCAGACAGTGGTAGCGGGGAGGCTCTGTGGTTGGAGGAAAAGCCACTGATGGGTCTCCGGGCAGCCTGGCGCCAGAGGTGTGGGCACAAAGCCCAGGGCTGCGGCCTCGATGAAGACGTGGTCATTGGGAGGGAAGGACCAGAGGAAAGCCAGCCCCTGGGGAGGGGACCATCAGGAACTGCCTTTCTCTCCAATCCCTCACCCCCCACTCAAGCCAGGCCCGCTGCCCACTGGCCCCACCCCTTCGCGGCTTCACTTCCCACCACCCCAGCACCCTCCTTCACCTAGGCAGGTCCCACGGGTGCAGGGCCCTTCTCCCAGCACACTCCCTCCCAGGCCCTGGTGAAAGGCTCCCTGACACTCTGCTTGTTGGGCCACCTTCAGGGGTGACTTTCAGGGCTCTCAGAGCAAGCTCTGGAGACAGCCACCACAGGCTGGGCACAGGGAGGCGGGAGGCTGGAACTGCCAACAGTGGCAAACAGTATCCTGCCCCTGTTGCTGTACGCCTGCCTGCCTGGCAGCTCGGGGCACTAAGAAAACACTGCTCTCCCCTTCCCCCCGTTCTGAGGCTGGCACCATGGGAAAGAGATGGGGAAGGGCTTCAATAGACCCCACCATGCCAGGTGGGGCTGGGGCTCATCCATGCTAGGTGGCTTCTCTGCTTGTTTTGGGGAGCTTACCCTCAAAGGACAGCTGAGCTGGTAAAATGTGTAAGGGAGGGTGGTGTCCTGGGCAGAAGCATGCCTGGCTTTCTCTGTGACATTTCTGCCCCACTCGTCCCCACCTCTATGAGGCATGCAAGCCCAAGACTTCGTGGAGTGTCTGCATGCCCATAGCAGCCCATAAGCCAAGGCTTACCCCTGAGAGCCAGGGCAGCCCACAGCTGGAGGAAGGGACAGACAGGAGGGTGCTGAGGGGTCCAATTAGGACCCCGTGTGCCTTGGCAACCTTGGGGGGGCCATCTGATGCTGTACTCAGAGGGAAGGAGCAGGCACATGTGGGTTGCTAGAATCAAGTGGGCCTTTAGACCCTGGATCTGCTCCCAGGAAGCCCCCCAGAAAGCCAGGACACTCCCTCCAGCACTGTACATCTCCACTGCCCTGGCACATCCACAACCCCTCCACCCGTCCACGTCACAGAAATGCTCAGAAGCTGGCATGCCCACTGCAGCAGCTCTGGTAGCTTCACTGTTAGCCCAGTGGTCAACCCACCTGGTGACCGGCGACAAAAAAGTTACCATGTCCATACACGGTCCCACTGGGGGTGCTGTCTCACACCTGCCACACACTCAAGGGTACAGCCGGGCCTCAGAGCTGCCCACGGGGGTAGAAGATCCCAGATGGTGGCCCAGGCTGTGGAGGGGAAGCCATGTGAGCAATGAGGGTAGAAAGTGGATCCTATAAGTTGGTCAACCATTCTGACAAGTGTCCAAACACCTGAATGGCACAGTGACTGGCGGAGGTGGGAACAAATCATTTCATGCTAATTGTGTGCACCAGAAGAGACACTTACTATGGCCGACTGTTCTGTAAAGAAAACTAGGGGGCTGGGCCCCACTGGTGAGGAGGTGGCATCAGCAGTCAGTCACTCAAGCTTCAAGCCTCCGGAGCATCCTCACCATGGCTTCCTGGCGATGCCACATTCCACAGCTCATACAGACTCTCATCACTGCACAGGGCAACCAGGCAATCTTTATCATAACCAAGATTTCACATAAAACGCTGACCTCCATGAGCATGGCCAAGACAATTCTGTTGTAAAAAACTACCCAGGACTCTTCTGGTATTGAATAGGGTCAGGGTAAAGTCCTGTGGCTACAAAGAACAGAAAGGCTGCAGCTCTGGAAGTATGTTCTCTCTGATGCCAACCGACAAAGGCCCCCAGCCCAGGGACTGTGACTCAAGGCGAGCAGGTGCATGACTCAAGGCTGTACTGAGAGCAGCACACCCACACCCTGCCTCATACCTGCCCGTTCAGGCTCGGGCTCCCACTGTGTCCTTGGCCTGCTTAGGAACAGCCCTGTGGAAGGAAGCACCATGTCCACTGGGGTGACAGCCTGAGGGTGCACCTCTGCCCCGTCCTCCCACTGGAAGTTTGGGCGGATCCAAGATAAACAGCTGTGTAACCCAGGCCTGCGCTCTCTGCATACCCCTGGAGCCCCTCGACACACCTACCTGATCCCCAGCCTGAAGGACCTACGAGGTGTGGGGCAAAAGCAAAAAGTTTGCTTCAAACCAAAGCCAAGGGCTTCCCTTTTCTCTCTGAAAAAGCCAGAGGAAGTCTTCCCAGATCATAACTCCTGCTTTCCCCTGCCCTAGCCACCTGAGAATTCTGCAAAACCGGAAGAATGGGTCATGAGTTCCGGCACCAGTTATTCTTAGCACACAGTGCTGGCTGCAAAGCACGGAAGCTTTCCAGGCACTCCCAGCCCATCTGCTGATAAGGCTTTCTAGAGTTCTCTGCAAGCTCCATGCTGCCTGCTCACCTGCTGCCTCTGAAGCCTGCCCCCTCCAGCTGGGGCCTCCTTCCTCCCCTGACTCCCAGGAGAACTAACAGCACTGTCCTAAGGCCAAGTGCAGCCAGATAAACTCCCTCTTTTCAGAAGAACCAGGCCCCTCAGTCCCAAACTTCACTCCACGTGGCGGCTAACAAGAACATGACAAGACAACAACTCAAGCGGTCAGGCAGACAGTCTGGCCAAAGATGGGTCAGGGCCACATGCCAAGAGATGTAGTGACGGCTGCAGTGGCTCAAGTAAGGGCTATGTGGGGACAAGGCCTGGCGCCTGGACTGATCAATGGTGAAGATCTACTTCCCTAGCCAGGGAAGGCAGGTCAGCAACCTCATGGAGGCTCACGGGGAGAGTAGGCAAGAGGGGCCCACGGCCACACTGACTAGACCTCACTGTCACTGCCAGCCCAGACCGGGAAGGATCCGGCAGGGGGATGAGGCAGACCTCAGTACTGCTGGGTACCCCATCTCCCTCTTGTGTACTCCTGATGCCACACAGCTGCCAGTCCCACGCTGCCTGGGGGCATCACGCACTGACTGTGACAGCCATTCACCCCACACCGACCAGGACCAGCGCCTCCAGCGTTTGCACCAAGGCTTGTCCCCTTCCCTTCCTCCTGGCCCACCTGTCCTCCCACGTCTGCTTCGCTCTCATCCATCCCCAGCCCAAGGCTCCAGGCCCCCTGCAGCCACAACCAGAAGCCCCCAGGGGCCAGTGGAGGCTGTGGTTGTGGTCCCCACAGCCAGGTTACCCAGGAGCACACTCTCATCTGGAAAATTTCCAAGTATACACATTCCGCAAGAGCCCCATATCTGGTCAGCTATATGCTTCTATATTTTTCTCAGCAAAGTATGGGTGTGTGCTGTGGGGTTATCATACACACGGGACCCTGCTGCTCTGTCCTGCTGACTGGCCGTGCAGGTCTGTCCTCACCGAGGGGCCACCACCCCCAGCCTGCTAGCTGCTGCACAGCTTTCCCAGGGGACATGTGCCTTCACTCCACCTCTTTGCCTCTGCCTGGTGTTTCAGTCCCAACAAGTTTCTATCCCCTACAGAATGTCACAGGGGGGCCCTGTGCACATGCTGTCCAAATGAGCTGAGGAGGGTACAGAGACCCAGGAGGCGGAATGGCTGGTGAGAGGATGATGCTCTGAGGTGAGCCCAACTCTCTCCAAATATCCAGCACAGGTACCACCTGCTGTGCAAGGGGAGTGTCCCGACCAGCACCATGATCTACCACCCCTCCTGAGGGAAACAGCCTCACCATGGTTTCACTGGCAAATCCCTGGGGCTGCGCATCTTACACCCACCCGTGCCTGTGTCCACAAATCACTGATTTGGGCCCAGGATCCTGGGCTTCTATTGCGCTGATCTGTAGTGAGGTACACGTGGTGTTGCCAGGCTCGTGACCGGTCTGCTCCAGGAGCTGCAAATATTGTCTCCCTGTACTGCCCTGCCTTGTAGCCTTGCCTGCGGCACTGCCTACCGGAAACAGTCTGTTACTTTACAGCAAGTTTTCCCACTGCTGCTGCAGAGCGGCCACCCTCCCTGTCCCAAAGTTAGAGCCCGTTGCCCTTGCCTTCCTTGTACGGTTGTATTTTGGCTTAGTTCTCAGGTCCGCCTGCGGTCTGCTCCGGTGGGTGCTGGGAGGTACAGATCCGCTTGTTTCCCAGCTGCTGGGCATCCATCCGGTCCATGCTGGGCTTTCCTACCTTGCCACACCCCAGACACCCAGTCCCAGGTCTCTGCAGGGCCCTGTTCACTCACAAGGCCTCTCAGCTTTGGCACATGCTCTGGTATCTGTCTGGAGGACAAGTCTCCCTCATGGTTATTCACTGAATCTTCTAAAACTCTAACAAATTGTGCTGGGCCATGTCCCACCCCTGCTCACCACACCTGGCACTGCACGGGTACCAGTGTCCAAGAAGCGACACAAGCGAGCCCCATGGCAGACAGCATACTGCTCAGCACGTGTACAGAAGCCAGAAATAAGCAAGACTCATCCATGAGGACAGAAGTCAAGGCCGGGCCACCAGGTCTGGGCAACAAGAGGGGACACAAGGGGACATCTGGGTACTGGCATAGCTTCTTGACATAGATGCTAGCTGTGTGGCTGGGCTCACTGTACATCCCACGCAGGGGCTCATTTAAAGCACATGCACTCTTACAGGCAGGCTGGCGTGGGGAGGAAGGAAAGGCCGAAGAAGCAGCTGTTTGTTTATGACAGACTGGGCAAGAGTGGACCTGGCTCTGGCTCAAATCCTTCAAAGCAGGACCCAGTGCAGGTGGGCTGCTGTGAGTTCTGAATGACACACCACCCACCGGAGCAGAGAGCAAAGCCATGCCTGACAACCAGGGTGCCAGAGGAGGGGAGCCTGAGCCCTCCGTGGACTCGCTTTCCTTTTCAATTAAAAAAGGTCAACAGGCCTCTGGATGGAAGGGAGGCATGCTAGGCCAGAATGCAGCAAAGGATGATAGGCATGTACATGAATGAATCGGAAGGTGTTCTGGCCTCGACACAGAGCCGAGGGGGCCTAGACATTCGGAAAAGTGAGGCTCCTAGGTCACATCACATCGGTCTCATACCCGGCTGGCTGCACACATTACCTGGGCCCAAGAATCTGCAGCCCTATTTCACTTTGCCAAGCACTTCACACAGTTTGGGATACATTTTTAAGGCTAGCCAGCCTGTCTATGTGTTCTTGAGAGGTCATGCAGAGGACAGGGGCCCTCTGGCTTCACGTGGCAGGGCTGAGGAGCCAGACACTTCATCCTCGCCCTGCACGGCCCTGGCTATCACTGTGGCAGCCCCCAGGGCCAGAGCTGGAAAGCATGCACTGCTCTTTTCGCATGATGCGTAATGTCTTCCCAGCAGCTGCCAGCAGAGGAGGTAAACACACATGGGAACACAGTGTTGCTGTTCTGGGGGCCTTGGCTGCGAAAGCCCTGACGTCTGTAAATATTCTGAGCAGCCGGCCCACTGCAGCACCGCCCCCCTGCTCAGCAACTGAGACTCCACAATCTATGCTTCGTCGTTCTGGCTGAGTGGCATTTCATGGTGACAAATTTTCCACAGGGATACTCTCCCTTAAGGTCTCCACAATGCTTGGGGAGCACTAATTCAACCAAGTGTCACTGTCCCTGCATTCCAAAGCACCACACCAAGTGTCACTGTCCCTGCATTTCAAAGGAGTGACACACATGATGGGAACAATGAGTGTTAAAAAAAACCCCTGGACAGGGCAGCCTCTGTACCTTAGCCCTTCCTGCCTTCCCCACAAGCCAGGGACCAGCCCAGCCTCACAGTGGCCCTGCTGCCCCATGCTTAATAAAGGACAAAGGGGTATTCTCACTAACCCCTCAAAAGATTAAAAGAGGGTGAAAGCAAGCACTTAAAGTTAGTGCAGTCCTGAAGACTTTCACAGATGTACCCTGAGTGTCAGTAGCCACCAAGAGATGGTGGACAGCCTTTTTCGCCTTTAAGTGTGCATACATCATTTTTGCAAATCTAAAAAAGAAAAGTGGAGAGAGAGAAAAAAAAAAAATGTCGGCAACGATACCCTGGAAAGGCAGTTCGGTGTCCTGAGACAACCTTGTTTTCACCAAGTCCATCCCCCAAACCCCATGGTCTGGACCAACAGATTCCATGACGCTGCCCTCACACACAGACATGTCACCAAAGGATGGACTCAGTTCTCACACATTTGGTGTGTCAATGACAAGTGTGGCACCACTTCTAAAAGCCCTCCCAGCCTCTCTGCCATGGGGCATTTAATTCCAGACATACTCTGGAGGCCCCTCATTTCTCCACCAGGGATGCCTTCAGAGAGCTCGCCCTCTGGTGCAGAAGCCAGACACAAGAACGAGACCCCAAGACACTGCACAATTACATCCACAGTGAAACATGACCAAAAAGCCCACAAAATGAGGTCACAAAAGAAGCACAGGGCAGTAACAACAGCTCAGGGAATGGGCAGCCAGGGCAGAGCTGATAGCCAGTTTCCTTCGTTCAGGGAAGGCTGTTTTCACCACATATTCAAGCAGGCAGTGGCAGCAACCCAGTCAGAGTGGCCTACAGCCTGTGGACACACCAGTAACATGAAGCCAGAGGACAGGGGCTAATGATCAAAGGCCGCAGAGCAGCCCACCCACCACACAGGAGCACTATGATCCTGGAGAGGAGGGACAGAGGCTCTACCATGTCCTCCTGCCTCCACGCCGCCAGACAGGTCACCCAAAGCAGGTAGGATCCTGAGACAGTGGCCCAGGTGGAACAGAGGCACTGGAACCTGGCCCTGGCTCTGAGTGACCTTGGAAACACCACTTGCCCCTCAGCATGAGTTTTCTTCGCTGCGGACAGCAACCAATCAATGAAGATTTGCCCAGAAAGGTTGCCCAGAGGATTAACAAGCCAGTTTGAGAAGGCATTTTCAAAATGCTACCCGCTGTAGGCACCCCTTATAGCTGCCATCACACCACATCTGCCTCATAGAAGAGAGCTCTGAGCCTAAACAGCAGCAGCAAAACAGCAGTCAGCAGATTAGGAGCAGGATGCCAGGTCAGGCCCGAACCCAACATGTGATTTCCCTGCTGGAGGAAAAGAGCTGAGGCTCAGGGACTGGTCCAAGGGCAGAAGACTCTAAAGCTGTGGCCCAGAGGGAGGTCATGAAGCACCTGACACGCTGCAGTCAGGGTACGGGGTCTGAAAGCCCAGCACCAGGGCCAGCTCTTGCCCTGGGTGCAGCCCTGACCAGCCCCTACCCCTTAAGTCCTGGGAGATGGTCTGA